TTTCTAGCAACCACTTGCCAACCAGTCAGGGAACTGTCTGTCAGGTTACACCAAGTAGTTTCTAGGTGTTTGTGCTTATGTAGCCAGTTTCCACGGCGCAGGAGAGTTGATTTTCTTTCATTTGTTTTGTTGTCAGATTGATAAAAGCAGCATCTTCATCAGGATCTAACATCACTTTAGCCAAGCTAACAGTGCAGATGTGAGACCTGCACTGATTTTCAGCAAGAAAGCAACCATGAGCATATTTCCCAAATGTTAAGACTTTAGATTTTGTTTATTCTGTTGATTCATGTCTCATATGTGTTTTTATGTGTATTTGATCTGTGCAGCCTTTGTTTGTATTATATAATATATAATTATATTCGTTATGTTCACAGACGGCTACGCCTTCTCTCAAGATGAGAACGGAGTGGTGTCTCAGTCTGAGGTCATCCGAGCGTACGACACCACCAAGCAGAGGACCAACACGTGGTGAGGCGTCGGCCTTCTCGTTCACGGCCGGCCCGCTCGGAGCCACGGCGGCCGTTTCCAGTGGCGATATTTGAAGCTTGACGGGGAGAAGCGGCGGTGTGTGCCTCCGGCGCTGAGGGGAAGGGGGGGTTTGGAAAGAGGCAGAAGAAAGGGACATTGTGTAGTCTTTGGAAAAAAAGGGATTTAAAAGAAAAAAACAAGGAACAAAAGGAGTCACGTTCACTATCAGCTGTAGTTGTGTGTCGCGCAGACATGAATGAGCACTGTGCTTTCTTAGCCGTCTGACGTTCTTCACTGTTCTCGTTTGTCTCCTTCTGTTGATTTGAGAAACGACGGCTTTTAGCACCGAGCCAAACGTCCTAAAAGCTAAAAACCATTTTAGTAAATCGAAATCAAACACTGGGCAGCGACTGGTTTCAGACGCTTCGAACTCGTGAAAGATTGCCAAAGAGCAGTCGTGTATACAATCGTCCAAGTACTCGTGAATTTGAGAAAACCGTCGAACCAAATGTAATGAAACTCCTGTGTGTGTCCAGCGCGACACATCAGAGCAGATGTTTGTAACATGTTCCTTTTGTGTTTGCACTCGAGGAAGCACCTGTTGTGTGAAGCCTTACATTTTATTACGCCTTTTCTTTCCGTCGCTTTCTTTTCGAATGCGTTTTATACATATGTAGATACTGTGCCTCGTTTTGACCATTTCTTTATGTTTTTCTGAAGACGTTGCCTCCTGCAACCTGCCGTAGTCCTGTGTCCACCGTTTTCGCAGCAGACGTATTGCTCTCGACTTAAAATTGCATTCCACGCATCCGCTCCCGTTTCAACGATCACAACGGTGCCTACGTCAAACGGTCCCTCTTAGAAGAAGACGATCGCGTAGACCAGTGCTCCACACACACACTTACTGTCTCCCACCACAGTGTTGCACTCCTACAATGTGAAACTACAGATGTGTTCCTGCAGAGGTGAAGAGGCGGCTCTCTGGTGGGTTGAAGCTTACGGTGGCAGCAGTGATTCCCTTCAGATGGAGATTTTACCCTCTAACATAAGTGCCATTAGCTTACGGGAGAGAGAGAGAGATTAGCCAGGAAACTCCACGACAGTATCAGAACTGCTCTGTCTCTATACTTATTTTGTGGATTTGTATTTTTATATTGGAGACGTATGAATTTTGCATCGAGCGGCTTTGTAATGAATCGTCTGTAACGTTTGTTTTTTCTTCCTCTGATGAACTGGCGGGGTCGATTAGACGAGGAAACGGAGCTTTCTTAATGTCTTGTTATTATTAATATTAATATTGTTACAGCTTGATTTATTTATAATTGACTAATGTCTGTGTGATTGCTTTCTTCTCCCTATGGGAGATCAGATTTCTGATGGTGCGAGTGTGTGTATACGTGTGTTTTTGCTTGCATGTGCATGTGCCGTATGAGTGTGTGTGTGTGTGTGTGTGTGTGTGTACCTCTACTGTGGATCATTTCTGTGTATGCACTGCATGTCTGTGTCCTCTATGAAAGGCTGGGAGGTTTCCTGCACCTGAGTCCTCCTGGTGTGTTTCTTTTGTTGTATATTTGTGCGCGTGTGTGTAGTGACGCTTGCTCAAGTTGTCCGTCTGCACGACTCCAGGTATAGCTGTGGTGTACTAACGTGTGCCGATGCATGGCCTGTATGGGAACGCGAGGCTGCCGGCGCGTTGGCGGTCGAACGCTCGACCTCGACTGTGAGTTTGTGACGCACCGCTGCTTCGACAGGAGATGTTTGCACAACGCACTTGATGTACCTTTCCAGTGTGGATATCTGGTCTTTTCTGGTTTCGGTACGATTTCTTTTGAGTGTACACGTTTGTGACCTTTTTTTCCACGCCGTGTTGCTCCTGCTTTACAGGAAAGCTCGTTTGTGTTTCTGATTATTTTCTCTGCTGGTCTTTGGCGTGAAAACGTGATCGGCTGTCATCTTGTCAGCAGAACGTCGTCGTCGTTGTGGAAGGTTCGCACTTTTGCTTTCTTCTTTCTTTTTCCCAGAAAACATCAAACACGTCGTTGTCTGTGAAGGTCGTGGGCTGCATGAATGGAAAACAAACTGTTCTCCGAGTGTTAACCGTACTACTTTAACTCTCCCTCAAGTGTTGATCACTTTACTAAAGCGGAAACAAAAAAAGGCGCACCTTTTAACTTTTCTTTTCCTTTCTGTCTTTCTGTTCGATGATTGTTCTGCATGTTGGGACTGCAAACTTATAAGTGTTGTCTTTACTGCCACGAAGGACTACTGAAATAAACTTTACAATCACTGACGAACAATGTGAACGTCTGTTATTGCTTTTGTGTTATTTGCACATTTGTAATCAGCGTGTGTGGCGACAAACGGAGAGAAAATCCAAACAGGAAAAGGAGGGACGGCCATCGGCCCGCGAGCACGACAAACAGATTATATCAATAGACTTCTCATTTGTTATGATTGCGGGTTTACTCGAACTCCTCGTCTGATCCCACTCAGGCTAAGTCCTGTTTGGCTTTTCAGATTCTTATTGTTATAATCAAGTCCAAAAACTTCATTAGTTGATTGACAGAACTTTTCTTTATACATAAACACGAACAATTCTCTGGTTACAGCTTCTAAATGTGGGTTTATTATTGTAAACTGTAACAGGATATCGTTGGGTTTTTGCACGATGATCATTGGAAGCGTTTTAAGACGCCGGCCTTCATTTCTATGACTGGTTGCTTTGCTGTTTGCAGATATTTTACAGACTGAAAACAAATAAATAAAACATTAGTGTGGGGAGATTAGGTAATGAAATAAACACCGGCTACATCTGAACTATAATTCTTTTTTCAAGTTGGAGAGTGAAAGCTTTTGTTGTTGATGAGGTGACAGCTGTGGTTACTGGTGGCAGCAAGTGTGATTTTATTACATCCAGAAGAAGCTTTTTGAGCAGCTGCATCGACATCAGGATTTAATTACCTGAGAGTCTTGAAGTCCTAAGGCCCCGTATTTCTATTCTTGGACTCTACTAGACTTTACATGTTTCATTGTTTAAAATGATCTTTATTTACCTTATACTGGAGGGTAACCCCTCAGTTTACACTACTGAAAGCCAGTTTTCTTCTTCGAGCAGCAGGTGGGTCGGGATGCTGCCGACTGGAGATGCCAATATTAACCCTTTAAAGCCTGAAGCGTGAAATAAATGCCAAGAAATTCAAATCTTTTGAAGATGGAGTGTTTATTAAACCCTCATTATTTTAAATTAATTAAAATACTTTGAATATATTACTGTTAATTGTGATTTATTGCTTATAAACGTATTGTACAGTTAAAGGATTAAGAAAATCAACTCTCACAACATCATACAGAGCCGGGGATGACTTGTAGATGCTTGGACACGTTTAATGGCAATATGTGTAATTTAACTGTATTTGTGGTGTGTCTGTTAAAAATATAGCAAAGCAATCTACAGAAGTCTGGTGGTTTAAAACAAAAGTCTAGGCCCTGAGAACAGATACAAAACTTGAATTGTTCTAAAATCCACACGATTGTTTTAAATAAAAACATTCACTGTGTGGAGTATTGGGTTCCTACCTTCAAGGATAACTTGGAAAAGACGTTGGAAACTTTTCTGAGCCTGGCAGAAACAGAGGATTCGATGTATCCAAAAGGTTTAGGAAATATCAGGAAAACATGTTCGCGACTTCTGTTTTCCTTTCATAAGCAGAAGGTGATACAGAGGTTTGAACTGACAGCAGCGAGTTCAGACGACAGGATGGAGGCAACGCTCCGACAGACGGTATTTATGAGAGCTGTGTTCTGTGATAAAAGACTTGACGGATACCTGAACGCAGCAGCAAACATCCTGCAGCCGAACAGCTTTCGGGTTTCGTGACAAACCGGTTGCCAAATGTGTTTCACAGTCAGGTAGGCGGCTAACAGAGCAGTCTTTGTGGAGGCTTCATCATACCTGCTGGTGCAACCTAAACCTCTGTTTCTGGGCTGAGTTGTTTTTAACACTGTGACCACGCCA